GTGCGGTTCGTAGCTTAGCAAAGTCGTACTAAAACATTTGACAGATTTTCGAGCGCCGTGTACGACATAAAATCGCTTCGAGGTCAAAAGGCACACGGGATTTTAAGGAGCACTGTTGATTTTCAGAAAAATCAAAGGATTGATTTTAAGTGTGCCGTATTTTCCAAAAATAGTGCTTTGTTGTGCATCTGACGGACGAAAGCCAAACCAGTTCCACACCACTGAAGTTGCAGCATTTTTACAAACCAATTCTGGTTCATCCGTTTCATTCAATGATCTGCTTTCGCCCTTCTCATTCTGCATCGCAGCCATGTGCGTATGTAAACAAAGGCACTGGGCATGCGCGTTTTACCCATATTCTATTGCGATATTTCATTTTCCTATCGTTGCCCAAAATTACACCGCTGTTACCGTGAACGGTATGATATAGCCCAGCCCTAATTTAAAGATTAAAATATCAGAATTTCCTAATGCAGGACATTATCCAGTCATTTGATTTAAACTGCAGGAATGTCTTAAAGACATAAAGACCTGGATGGCCTCTAACATTCTGCTTCTTAATTCAGATAAAACTGAGGTTATTGTACTCTGCCCTGACAATCTTAGAAATATGGTATCTAACCAGATTCTTACTCTGGATGGCATTACCTTGAGGAACAGTAGCACTGTGAGGAACCTTGGAGTCATTTTTGACCAGGACATGTCCTTCAACGCACATATTAAACAAATATGTAAGACTGCTTTCTTCCATTTGCGCAACATCTCTAAAATGAGAAATATCCTGTCTCAGAGTGACGCTGAAAAAGTAGTTCATGCATTTATTACTTCCAGGCTGGACTACTGTAATTCATTATTATCAGGATGTCCTAAAAACTCCCTGAAAAGCCTTCAGTTAATCCAAAATGCTGCAGCAAGAGTACTGACGGGGACTAGAAAGGGAGAGCAGATTTTTCCTGTATTGGCTTCCCTTCATTGGCTCCCTGTTAAATCCAGAATTCAAAATCCTGCTCCTCACATACAAGGTTGTAAATAATCAGGCCCCGTCTTAGAAACCCAAATCAGAAAACGTTGGGACAGTATGGAAAATGCAAAGAAAGAAAGAAAGAAAGAAAGGAGTGATTTCTAAATTTGACTTATGTCATTGCAGACAATATGAACACAAAATATTTCATGTTTTGTCTGGTCAACTTTATTTCATTTGTAAATAGACATCCTTTGCTGTCATTCAGACCTGCAACATATTCCATAAAAGGTTGGGATAGGAGCAATGTAGGGCTAGTAATCAGGTGAATTTGTTAAATAATGACGTGATTTGAAACACGTGATGTCAACAGGTGATTGTAATTATGATTTGGTACAAAAATTAAAAATTGTCTTTACATATTTCAATAATTTTCAAAAAAATTAATGTTCCTCAAATAAAGATAGAAAGAGATTTTGGATAGTTTAACTTCAACAGTGCATAACATAATTAAAAGATTGAAGGAATCTGGAGAAATTTTAATGCGTAAATGACAAGGGTGCAAGTCTAAGCCAAGATGGCAGCAGATGGCCCCGCCCCTCCCTGAGCCTGGTTCTGCCGGAGGTTTCTTCCTGTTAAAAGGGAGTTTTTCCTTCCCACTGTAGCCAAAGTGCTTGCTGACAGGGGGTCATATGATTGTTGGGTTTTTCTCTGTATGTATTATTGTAGGGTCTACCTTAGAATATAAAGTGCCTTGAGGTAGGGCTGGGCGATATGGCCTAAAATCCATATCACGGTATAATTTGAAGCATGTGCGGTAACGATATATATCGCAATATATTATTTTCTTCTCTATAACGTATTCTACACACTATAAGGCACACTTAAAATCCTTTAATTCTCTCAAAAATCGACAGTGTGCCTGGTTCTGGTTGTGCTTACTGACCTCAAACAGATTTTATGTGGTACACGGCGCTCAAAAATCTGTCAAAAATGTTTTAGTACAACTTTGGTAAGCTATGAAGCTGCACCGCCTGATGGATTGTCGGAGCATTACGGCTACCGTAGTCAGGAGCCTCGTGGAGTAATCTGGGTCCAAAACTCCCTCTGCTTCAGGTCCCAAAATCAAACGAACACTGCGGCATCACTGAGAGTTAAAAACTGTCTAAATTCTTTCATCTTTAATAAAGTGATGAGCGTTGCTGCTTTACCAGGTGCAACAATTAAGTTTAACATCCAGGCATCCATGAAAACAGAATTTATTAAATTCAACGGAGTTAGAAGTTAGCAGGAAGTTCGCTCGCTAGTTTCCACCTAAACATGATATGCCATGTTCTGACTGAGAGATATCTGAAAAAATTAAAACGTACAGATCTGCTACCACTTCCAACATAAATGAAGACAGAAAACTAGGCAGTGACGTTTGTAGGGTTACTGAAGTTGGAATAGCTGGTATATAGTGATGTCCTACGTGATTGCTAGCAAAACAGCTACATTGGCATAACATTAGCACAGTGAAGCTGAAGGATGAACGCTAACCTTTTTCCACTAAAAGTTAACGTGAGGGTTTCTGGTGGTTAGGGACAAATGCAATTGCATAGCAGGATGCTATAAACGGACCAAACTTCAGTCAGGAAAACAGCTGAGATAATCCATCCACAATACGAGGTTAGTCATTAATATACTGCAACAACATGGGAATAGAGCGGCTGCGAGAGAATTCGGCATTAGTGAATCAATGGTAGGGAAGTGAAGGAAGCACAGTTTTTGGCTTTCCTCATATTCCAAAAGTGCTTCATCTCTTTACTATTACTGTTGCCCAGCATAATTTGCAGATGATGTTGTTTGCAGCTGCTGCAATGCTTTCGATCAAAACAGGTGCAGCTTGATGATGACACCATCAACATGTGCTATTGCGGTAGAGCGGTATAGTAAAAATCTCTACCGCTGGCCAAATTTATATCGTTTCTACCATTTACCGTTTATACCGCTCACCCCTACCTTGAGGCGACTGTTGTTGTGATTTGGTGGTGTTTAAATGCAGTTGAATTGAACTATTTCACACAGGGCCATGTAGGTTTGGATTTTTTCCCCTTAATAATAAACACCTTCATTTAGAAACTGCATTTTATGTTTACTTGTATCATCTTTTTCGAATATTTAAATTTGTTTGATGAAACATTTAAGTGTGACAAACATACATAAAAAGAGGAAATTAGGGGGTCAAACACTTTTTCACTCCATTGTAGCTTATTTTTTGAGGATTTTATAACATTTTTTTTTCTGTAAACTGTAGTGATGTCAGACTCTGAAGGACGCCGCTCATCTGTGTCCTCCATCTCTTTGATTGAGATTAAGGGTGAGACTCATTTAGTGCTCCAAGCTTTTCTACATCGCTCCCTTTTGATTCCTCTGAAAGAGAGGCCTGGGAGGGTAGGAGGGGCCTACAATGATCACCACAAGTACAGGTAATATAACTCACTACTATTCTATTTTTTGCTTGTTTGTCTTTGTGTTTGTATCTTTTTTTAAAATTGTAGCTCAAGACACAACATTCTGGATAATAGCTCACTGACTTGTGCCGTTTGTGACCTTTACCAGTGAGTAGCAATGATTAAAGGGTAGATGGTGCACACTGTGCTTTTTCATAGTTTTAGCACTTACTACATTTTAATCAATCTAAAGGTTTAAGTAAGTAATTATTTTAAATATAGTAATTAAATATTTGCAATATTATTTGTCTTGTTTTCCCATGCTAGTTCCAACCCAAAACCAAAAACAAAGGATGAGCGGAATTCTCAGGTTGTCACTTCAGGGGATGAAAAAAAGACTGGATTCAAAGACCTCATAAAGCAACTGCCACATCGTAACAGCGCACAACGTCCTGCCAAAGACCCTGAAGGCTCATTGGGCAGGAAGAGCAAAGCAAAACCTGCACACCTCAAAGACCAAAGCGAAGTAAGTGTGTTGTATTGTTTTGAGCTGGAACACATGAAAGACTGTGAGTGATGTTGGACCCAAACCTGCTAGTGTCTACATGGTATTGTTATACATTAGTACTATGATACATTAAGACCATGAAGGCTAGAAAAGAGTACTAAATGGGAAAAATTTTCACTTCAGTGTCTCCCTGAGACTGGTTCTTTTTTTCTTTTTTTCCTCATAATTATCAGTACTTCTGCTTCCTGGCTGTATACAGGATGTCAGATGTGTACATGCTTTTTGTTGCAACTATAACATTAATAAGATTGGTAACACTTTGTAATATGGCCCTCAACTAAGGGCACAAGTCCACTGAAATAATTTAAATGTAATAATTTATGTAGTAATTTCAATGTATTTTATTTGAAATTACAATGTAATTATTTAACTAAAATTTAATAGTTTAAATACTTCAACTGTTTCCACAGGATGACACCATATCCCCCTCCTGTACATCAGAAGAGGATGAAAGTGAAAAGAAACCAAAGAAAAAGCTCAGCCAAAAAAACATCAAACAGAAGCTCTCCAAGATCTTTAGTTTAAGGTTACAGAAGGATAAGGACAAACAGGAGCGTCCGTCTCATCCGCAGCGACCTGACACATTACCAATTAACAAAAAACCGGCGCCTACACCAAATGTCATCTCTCCCAGTAAGCTCTCTGACTGTTACATTTTCCAAAAGAAGAAATATCAGTCGTATTTAATCACATGGACACACAAAATTCGCTCATCTTTTGTACATTTGTAATATTAAAGATGTATAAAAATTGCATAAATGTATTCATCTAAATGTAAATGTAATTTTCACGTGTTGAACTATTGCATGCCGATTGATGTCAGCAATACTTCCTGACCATTTAATTTAGTAGGGCAAGGAATTTTTTTCCGTTACAGCACCTTTTCATCTGACTTTTACTCAGGAACCTCTTCTTACTTTTTGCTGAAGAATTTTATTTGATGATCTTGTTGATAAAGATAATCTACAAAAGGTTCTTGCACTCAAAGGAGGTAACTTCTATGGTACAACTTTTATTTTGATATTAATATTTAAGATCATGGGGGACTTAAATGGCAACTAAAAATGGATGAGATTGAAATTTTTTTAGTTGATTGAACTGAATGAGGTGGGAGAGATAAGATTTAAATTATTTTGAAGGGTATCTCAGTGACTCGAATAGAAGCTAGCCTGAGAAGGAGAATGCTGCAATGAGCTATAGTGTCAAAGGCAGCACTCACACTGAGGAGGAAGACAGTGGTTAATAAACCAGAGTCAGCCATTGCTTTCTTGGAAGATACTAGTGAACATAGTTCTCCTGCAATATACTCAAATTAAACACTTGACTGCATTTGAGTGGCAAAAGTCCTTTTATTGTTCATGGATATTTCATATACATTTGTCCATACAGATCACCCTCCTGAGTTCTACAGTAATGTGGCAGAGAAGCTGGAAAAGATTGCCCAGAAGTCTACCAGTATAAAGAGAAATAGCCCCAAAACACAGCCACCAACAGGTAATTGCATGCACAGCCACGCATATACATTAATTCACTTTAAAATGGTATATTGACCCAAACTAGAATTCACAGAACAGTAAAGTAACTAATAAATGTAAGTAAAATGTATTTATAAAGCAGATTTACGTTTTTTTCACGCTTGCAAGGTCCTATAGATTTGCTTTATAGGGTAGCAACTAACCACAAAATGAACATACATTTTTCATGTTTTTCAATAGTGCAGAGCACCTTCTTTCTGTTTTACTTTATTTACTTTTGCTACCACCCCAGATGCATCAAAACGTTAAAAATGACAACAACCACCAGAGGACAGGAGGGGATGCATGAGTTAGACATGCAGCAAATGAGACATTAGTCTGTTAACAAGGGAATATTAACAGGGACAAAGGCAGGTTTTGAGTCTAGACTCAGAAGCAAAGATGTGGGTCCTTTTTTTTTTTTTCTCCCCCCATTTCAGGTGGTAAGGTCATTCAATACACATGGAGCAGTGACCACAAAGGCCGCATCACCTTTTTGTTTGAGGCATCAACTTGTATGTAAAGATCTGTAAAGAGCTTTGATTCTACAAAAGATCTGAGAAATATAGGAGCTAAATCAGTGATATAAGCTGACCCCTGCCCATTAAGAGTCTTAAAAATAATGAATAAGCTCTTAAATTAATTCTAATTTGGCAAGGACAAGACTGTAATGATGTGCCCATATTTCTTTGTGCCAGTCAGCAGTCTTGCTGAAAGGACAAAAGATTTCAAAGAGGTGATAACGCTTAGCTGGTTTTTGACAACGGAGCAAATTTGTTTGTCAGAGTAAAGCTCTGAGTCACAAAATTATATTTTGCAAGAGATGTAAAATATAGGATACAATAATCTAACATGCTGGCAAAGGAGCTTGTAGATTTGGATGGACAAAAGATGATGAAAATCTGTTTCGTTCTTGTTACTCTTCCAGCCTTTAATATATACTGTAGCTCAGGTGGCAGAGCGGATCAGCCACTAACCAGAAGGTTGGTGGTTCAATCCCAGGCTGCTCCAGTCTGCATGCCAAATATCCTTGGGCAAGATACTAACCCCATGTTGCTCTCCGATGCGTCCATCGGAGTGTGAATGTGTATGAATGTTAGATACTTAGCACTTAAGCTTAGAAGTGCTTGTGTGAATGGGTGTGATTGGGTGAATGAATTAGCTGTATAAAGCACTTTGAGTGCTCGGACAGAGTAGAAAAGCGCTATATAAAAACCAGTCCATATATTTTAGTGGAAGATATAACTCAAAGTCATCAGTGTACAAATGAAAGGAGATATTATCGTCTAATAATATTACCAAGTGGAAGCAGATCCAAACAGAAGAAGATTGATCCTGAGATGAACCGTTACCGAAAAACTCTTCTTCTTAAGCTCTACATTGGCTCCTATCAATGAGCCAATGTAGAGCTTAAGAAGCTGCACCCTTAATGCCAAGCCAGTCTGCAAGGGGTGGCAAAAAATGTTTTTATCCACAGAATAAAATGCATCACTGAGGTCCTGCAGACTCGGGGCTGCAATATCACTTTAATCTAATGTGACTGGTAAACTACTGGTCACTGTCAGCAAAGCTGTTTCAGTACTATGAAAGGCTTTGATGCCCATCTAAAATGCTTCCAGAAAGGCAACACTTGTGACATGGTAGTTTAGAGCAAGGATGATGGTTTTTGGTAATTTTGCATCCAAGTTTTGTTTTTTTTAAGTATTTTTATTTTATTTATTTATTTGACCTGGACTACAGCATGCTTAAAATATGCAGCAATATTTTCCAAGGTTAGGCGTATTGTTAGGTATTAATTATAACTTGGAGACTAGGACTGAGTGTATCAAATTAGTTACCTATGCTGTAACACAGGAAACATCATAAAAAGGGGCTCATGTGAAATGTTACATGAAAAAGTATTTGCCCCTTGCCTGATTTTGGTTTTTTGCATATCATTGTGTCCAAAAAATAAATATAAAATATAGTCATTTATTTATTATTTCATTTATGGGGAAAAAAGCTGCCCAAATCTCCTTGGCACTATTTGAAACCTCCCCCCTTGTCAACTCATGAATTAACTGTGATTAACCACGTTTTTGGAAATGGTGATTTTAATTTCACTAGCCACACCCAGAACTTATTCATCACTGCCAGACCTGAAATAGAACCTGATAAGATAAAACCAGCACATCATTCCACAATAAAAAGAAACTCAAGAACAAATGAGAACCAAGGTCACTAACATCAGAATAGGTGTATCTATAATCCAGTTTTGAGTTCCCTCCCCAGACGCCTTAACGCCCACTCACATCCTGGGCCATCTGACCTCAGGAAATCGCATGATAAGGTGGGGCCAGGTTTCACAATGAGCTCACCCGAAAACCCTGGCTGATTGGGACCCACACCCGTTTTCACACCTTGGCTCATATGATTAGAGGATCATCAGGGGGTCCTTTTGTCCCTCTTTGAGGGGATACTCCCACTGGGTTTAAATCTGGGACTCTCCGCCATTTGACCTTAGAACTGAAGAAGCTTTTCGGATGAGAGGTGAAACGTCTTTATGCAACTTGAAGAAGTCCAGACGCTTTTCTTTTCAAGCTCCTTTGACTACGATGACCTGGATGACTGAGAACCTTCACAGACATCAGAATAGGTTACAAAGCCATTTCTAAGGCTTTGGGACTCTGGACTGTCTCTCAGCTCAGCTAAAGAAACCTTACTGAATTGGTTGAAGGTGACTTATAACACCGGAAAAACACTTGAGCAACTAGTGATTGATAAGAAAAACCCTGATAGATCAGAAATACATGCAGTACATTATGTGAAGTTAGAAAAACTGATCAAGAACTATAATATCTTCATCTTCAGTAAAGCTGATGTTTCTTTCTCAGCAGTATGTGATAAAGAAACAATAGTGCAGGAACTTGTCAAGGTGCTCTCTTCGGAAGGAGATTCTATCAATACTGTGGTAAGTAGTGGTTCATTATACTGTCTGTAAAGGTCCTTTATTCATTTGTCAAATGTTTTGGGAATAATAATAATAATTACAATAAATTAATCAATTCAGATAAACATAAAGCTGAAGACGGTGTAAATTTTCCTCATGTGTTTGTGTGCGCACTCAAAGCAAATGTACATTATTTAACAGATCCAATCGGACCCTTTTCTTCGCTCCAGTTTGACCCGTCTTTCATATGCATCATTTTCCAAACTCCTGGATGCTGTGAGCAGCAGTCATGTAGCTGAAACTCTTTCTCAGCAACCAACAGCCAGTCCTACATTGCAACGGATGGCTGTCAGCATGGAGGTATCACGGCGAATAGTGACAGCCACGGGAGCTCAGCGGATGCAAGGCTATGCAGAGTACTACATGGAGAACTTCGCCCCATGGCTGAAAAGCCATGGAGGATGGGTAAGTGATTTCATTTTTGCATTGACTGTGATCATGTTTTTTTACAGATGGGCCTTGGCTGTTATGAACTCTAATTTTTCCTCTGTATAATTAATCATACAGACTTTTTCATCTGCAGGAGAATGCAGTAACTTTGGATGAACATCTAGAATATGACTGAGCAGTTGTTGTTAGTTTTTTTTTTTTCCAACTAAACACCAACTACTGGACCTGACGGGAAAGTGAAGAGGAAAAGAGAAACCTTCTCTGCTTTAATATGTGACTTACTTTTTCTTCCATGGCCTTATGTAAACACTCAGTAATTCTTGAAGCCTTTTGAATTCTGCTGACATTAGAAAGACTCTCCAGGTTTTTGATTTGCACAAGTCATTTGTTGTTACTAATATAGATTATTTTATAAAAAAAAAAAAAAGGCCTGTCAGTTAAATTGAGAATACCTCTAACATCAGTTTACTGTTCTGTAGTTACTGGGCAAATTTTACCTTCTTCCTTTCTGTTCAGTGAATTGGTAAAAACTCCTACTTGTTTCTGTGTCCTTAAGACTGAGTCTAAACACTTTATTTGTATTAAAAAAATCTGTAAATACCACCACCCACCCAGTACCCATTTAAGATTGAATCTCACTGAAAAATCTAATTAACAATCACCCTTATAGTTTAGTTTCACAACTATCCAGTGAGCTAAAGAAGACCAAGAGCAAGATTTTATGTCTTCTTTAGTCAATTTCCAAATATTTACATTTGGATTTTATTCTAAATTTTGATTTGTTAGTTCCTGCACTGCATCCCTCACTACTGGTATTGTTCTTTCTGTGGATCTAATTTACATGGGATCACAAGATGTGGATTTGTGTATGTTAGCAAAAGCTATACAGAGAGGGTATAATGTTCAGAGATTAGTGACTGATATTTCTATTGCTATCGTTTGATTGACAGGTCTTTAATCCACAAAAAGGTAAACACTAAAGTTTTTGATTTTTTTGTTTTTGCTATTTTTCCAGTTTGTTTAATTTTTAATTGAGTTGGAACAGTCTGTGTTTTTGCATGATACAAAGTGTTTTTGTATGTCTATTTTCTATTTGAGTAGGAGCATTTAAACGCCCCTCTGTAAGTTATGAGGAGAGATTCTACGTGTTTGAATTGCACTAGGTGTAATAGGGACTGTCCCTTTTTGTTGTTGTTTTTTGTTTGTTTGGTCTGGTTTCACACCAAGATGATCCTGGGTTTAAACCCACCAGGAGGAGCCTTTCTGTGGGGAGCATATTCTCCCTGTGCTCATCTGTTCTCTCCGGGTAATCTGGGCTTCCTTAGCCACAGTTGTAAATCTGTCTCTCTATATAACTAAAGTGTGTGTGTGTGTGTGTGTGTGTGTGTGTTTAATATTTTATTATTTTTATTGCAAATAATAACCATTTCTTGTTGAAAGTGGACAAATTCCTTATGGATGTAAGTATTAACATGAATGGACATAATGTAATATTCAACCTAAAACCTCAGTAAAGCCACAGTCATACAGGCCTAAGAGAATGGTCAGCAATCCCAAATTATTTTATTATTCTGCTAAAAAACTAAAATGAAAAATGAAAAAAATCATTCACTACGTAACTAACTAACTAGTTAGGTAGCAAGTACAATTCTCCCAGACCTGTGTGACCAAAAAAACTGAAACCTCATGTAAATTTCTCTGTTCTGTTACTAGGCTGCATTTAATTTACACTGTATGTATGTAATTGTGAGTTTACCTTTTATGTTTTTATTGATTTTTTTTTTTTTTTTTTTTTTGCAAAGGCACTTTACATTATTTTGACATAAAACATCCATCTCTGTTCTCTTAAGGTTTTAATAGTTCACTGTTTGTGTTAATTAATTACACCAATTTACAAGCAAAACACTGATATATGCCACACATGGGATGTAATGTCTAAGGGATAAATTACTGGTTTTATGTTTAGTCCTTTCTGTGTGGAGTTTGCATCTTCTCCTCATGTTTGCGTGGGTTGTTCTCTCCGGGTACTTCGGCTTCCTCCCACAGCCCAAAGACACGGAGCGACATTTCATTTCATTTTTATTCATTTTATTCATTTTGCCCTGGATCAGTTTGAATATATAGGCTATAAAGGAATACCAAGAGTTACATTCTGAGTGACTATGAGGATATTTGAAAATTGTTGCGGTAAAATAAGTGAAGCAGATGTATATCCATTATGCCTACATTTTACAGGATAGAAATTTAGAATTAAACGTCAAATAAAAATCTATTTTCCAGGGTCCATGTATCAAATATATTTTCTGCTACTACCGTGCTGGACTAAATACACAAACTGAACCAGCAGTTTGTGCTTACGGCCATACCACCCTGAGCACGCTCGATCTCATCTGGGCTTGGAAGCTAAGCAGTGTTGGGCTTGATTAATACTTGGATGGGAGACTGCCTGGGAATACCAGGTGCTCTAAGCTTACTAATCTAAGATACTAACCCCCACTTGGTCTCCGATGCATCCATTGGAGTATGAGTTAAAGCACTGACAAAGGTTGGTGCTGGTGTGTATGGGTGAATGCGGCGTGTTGTATAGAGCGCATTGAGTACTCCAAGACAGTAAAAAAGCGCTATATAAGAAGCAGTCCATTAAGAGTGCTCCCCTGTGCTTTTTTTTACATCTTAGATAAATGACATCCAAAGGCTAAAATATAGTATATACTAAATAAATATTTGTCAAATTGTATCTACAATGAAGGAAATGATAGTCATTACTAGGTTAATTAATATATCCCAGTTAACAGATGTCTTTGTACAGCGCGGTGTGGAAGAACTAAGTAAATCGGTGTTGATTTTAGAAATTCAGTTGATGAGTTTGAAAGGCATCACGTGACATCTGTTGAACAGCTTTTCTGCAGTTAGTCCAAGTGTTTCTCGGCCGAACGAATTTGACAATACATGAGCATGGAGAACACCAGGGCCAAAATCTGACAAAACAAGAGGAGACGTGCAGGTCATTAATTAACAAGTCATTAACGCTACATATGACAGGAACTACACAGAAATGCACCAACTATGCACTCAGACTCCAGGTGGACTAGGATGTTGTATAATAAGAACTACTTGTCTGCACTGTCCTCAGCTGTCCATGTTCACATTCACAGTGTATAAGCGAATGCAAGTGATTTCGACCAGTTAAAAGCAATCAGCATGAATAACTGAATCAAGAAATTCAGACTAAACACAAATATTCCTAATAGCTGATATATGATCTAAGATTTTGGAATCTATACCACCTTTCATTGTAAATGTACAAATAAGTGAGCTACAGCTTACAACACATAATTACCAAAAGATATGTTATTTCAAGTTTTATGAGCCTAAAGGGTAGGCAAACAGTTACTAAGTTTAAATGTACATTTTGTTTATGGACAGTATGTATGTATAGTATATAGAAAACATTAATATCGTCTACCTGCACAACACCAATACACACTCCAAACACCAGGACAGAGGTGATGTTTTTTATCAGCCACTTTCTTGCTTTCTGGTAGCATGGCTGCAAAGGACATGGGGAAACAGTTGAGGCAGAGTAGTTATAGATAGAAAGAAAAGCGAAGAAGAATGCCAGGGCTGTATTCCAGGATGCAGGTTTAGCTAGCACCTCTGAGTTCCTAAACCCTGAGATGTGTGAAACTCCTGTTTTCTGCTCCAGAGAGTTAACGTTAACTCTGAGTCAGTTATCAGGGTAAAAGACACTATGTTAGATGCAAATTTGTTCACAGATTAGAATTCGCTCATTAAATATCAAACAACATGTTGGAAAGAATGGTGGCTGAATTCAGAAACTGAGTCTCAACATATTTTCCACTTAAAAATCGCCTAAATAGTCTCAGTTATTTGACCAGATCAACCAGAAGATATCACAGGCTCTGTTATGGATCAGAACCTATGCTGCCATTTGAACCGCAAGTCAAATCCAAACCGTGATCCGTTTTTAATTCAGGCAAGATCAGGCACAAATTCTGTTCAGCTCCAGGTAGACCCTGGCTATTGTAAGGTAGACCCTACAATGATACATACATAGAAAAACCCAGCAATCAATTTGGCGACACTGGGAAGGAAAAACTCCATTATAACAGGAAGAAACCTCCAACAGAACCAGGCTCATGCTCTGTGTTGGTACAGGCCACTGAACATGATAACAGTGGGTGGATTATATTCTTAAATGTAAACAGTTTCTATGCCATATGTTAAAACAAGATCTAGAGTGTCATTAAAGTGGTGGGTGGGTTCTTTTACATTTTTAGAGAAGCCAGTTGAGTTTTCAATTACTTGAAAACTTTGAAGAACCTGCTATTCTTCCTGCAGAGGTCCAAGGGATCTTACAGCAATTGTGATGCTTTTTTCTGGAGAATTGCTTAGGGTGATTTCATATCTTTTGATCTTGAATCTGGAACCTAAGCTGGAGCAGAGCTGGTTAGATCTACCGCATTATAGTGATCTACCCTGGTAAGAAGTGAACCAACTTTGTAGTTGACCACAGAAAACTATGGGCCAACCCTAAAGTTACCCAGATAAGCCAAAATCTTGCTTCATAGCCTCAGGTTTAGTTCACAGAGTCTGTTACCCTGGTAGCTGACTCAGAGTTGAAGTCTACACAATTCCTGAAACATAAATCTTGTAGTTACCAAACTAAGATTTGTTAGCAAATTCTGCTCTGAAAAATGCAAAGACTTTAGTATGCAGTTGCTCAAGCAGTATGTGTGACACATACATTCATTGATCTGTAGGGAAATTCTGTTTCATTTGAGAGGTTTATCCCCCCCAAAAAATAAAAATTAAAAAGCAACAAACCTCAGTCCATCCTTCAACACAGGTCTGTGTCCCAACTGAGCAACATGATAAGGGTAGCTTTCCCTGCAGCACGTTATACCAGTCTGTTTTGTTGGTTACGCCACAGCACTTGAACTGGAAGAGCAGATGACAGGATGCAAAGAGGACAGTAATACCAAATATTTAATCTACATTTAACATTTACACGTGTAAACTCATGTAGATCCTTTTGACTTGACAGTTTTCTCTTGGGTTATTAGGGTGCCTATACTCTTGTCATGTACTCTCATCACTTATTTTGAATCTGTGTTTTTTTAATGTTCATAATTTGTGGCTGTAAAGTTCATTAAACTGACAAACGTCCACCACAAGGTGGCACCATCACCAAGAACAGTAGTTACTTCTAGATTTTGCCAACTGCATCTTGGTCTATGGTTTTGTCAGGTTTATTTTGAATTGGGGTTGCGTTTGGACTGCACCAAGCTGGAGATGTATGGCAGACTGTGGTGCGAAATTGCTTCATACAGTCCTTCATAGCAAGATGCAAATTGCTTCATACAGTCCTTGGCAAATATGACTGTAATGTGTTGAGACTTTATTGTGTCAATACTTTAAAAATTTTAAGGCAATATTTAACAAGACTGTGCATGTGTTTGTAACTGTCGTTGGTGATCAGTACCTTCCACACGGACTAGAAACCTCCATGAACTTATATGTGTAGCAAGATGCAGAGTCTGCAATCTCCAGTGTGTCCAGACATGAAGCTAGTGAAACTGTAGTGTAAGTGCCTACAGTCATTTTGCAATCATTTTGGTTTTGGCTTGGTATTAATTTGTTCCTTCGTTTGTTTTTGTCTGTAGCCAGAGCCACTGTTGTATTTTCAGTGCATATTTTTTTATTGGATGTTTTGTGATTTTTCCTTTTTGTATATTATCTGTATGCCATTAAAATGCTGCAAGAACCCCTGTTATTGTGTCCCATGTGGCAACTAATTTCCCAGGCTACACAGTATATCCGTTATTCTGTTGAAAAGAGGATTATTCTATTTTCATGTGCTGTTCAGTAAAAATGCTCACCATTTTCTGGACATTGTCCCAGGAATTCTTAAGGCCAGGATCTGATTCATACATCTTCATATCTTCCTTTAATTCTTTTTGTGCTTTTGAATCCAGCTGACAAAAAGACAGTGAACGAAACAAGGATATACAATTAATCATAAAAAAATCAATTGTATATATATATAATATATAATATAGACAGAGTGGCACGTATATATATATATATATA